GCAGTTGCTAGAAAAGTGTTTCTCTAGAAAGTATAACATGTGTGCTGCCGCTGAGAGAGTTCCTCTTTATTATATTACTCAATAAATTTCAATAAGCTTTACTTTTTTGAGGGAGTTTTATGTCGTGTCAAAGGTACAAAGATTTTCAACACATCCCTAATTTCCTTGCACATATGTTGGTAGCAACCCTTTACCAACATCTGCTGCCATAGTGGCATATTTATTTCAGTTGATGAAACTGCATTAATATATCATCATGGTCATCACACCACCATTTAAATCAGGGTTCACCCATGATGGTGTACTTTCTCAAAATCTGAACAAACATGAGGGTATCTTTACATTGTCATACCAAATAGATTCACTACCCTAAACATATATGTTTTTTGCCCATCCTCTCTTCAACCACTAGTTTGGCAACCATTGTTTTTACTATAGATTTGTCTTTTCCAGAATATTGTAGAACTAGAATCAGGATATGTAGCCATTTCATTTTGGCTTCTTTCATGTAATCATATGCAGATAAATTTCTCTCATGTCTTTTTGTGGCTTATGGTTGATTTCTCTTTTGAGCTGAACAATATTTCATTTTCTGAATGAATTGGTATATTTTTTTATACTAATTATAATAGTATATTTCTTCATTCACCTTCTGAAGGACATTTTGTATGTTTTCAGGTTCTGGCAGTTCTGAATAAAGAAGCCATGGACATTTACAGGTGTTTATTTGGATGTATGTTTTCAGTCCCTATTAAGGTGCCTGATTGCTAGACCATATGTTAAAGGTTTATTTCATTTTGTTAAGAAAATACTAAAATGTTTTCTATAGTGTCTGGGTCATTTTGCATTTCCACAAGCAATAAATAAGAATTCCTCTTGCTTCTCACCTTGACATCATTTGATGTTCCAGATTTGGTGTAGCAGTATTTCTTTTTAAATTGTGGTTTCTGAAAGACGTTTACTTGATAGATCTATTTATTTGTTCACTTGTGTATCTTCTATTCCATGTTCAGGTGTTATGGTACCATTTGTTTTCTATGTTGTATTGCTTTTTTTCCCTTTGTCAAAATTGGTTGACTTTTCATATGGATTTGTTTGAAAGAACAGTTGACTATTTATCTGGATCTGTTTATAAATACAATCTATTCCCTTGAACTACTTTTCCGTCCTTACATCAATTCTATACTGGCTTTTTTACTAGAACTTTTTGGTATATCTTAAGGTTGCATAGTGTCAGTTCTCCCAACTTTGTACTTCTGTTTCATCATTGTGGTGTCCATTCTGGGTCTTTTGCCTTTCTGTGTAACAAAATAAGCTGTTTAGATTTTAAATGAGATTTTATTAATGTATAGATCTATAGGTTTAGTTGGAAAGAACTGTCATTCTAACAGTGTCTGGTATTTCTGTCTGCAGACATGAACTAACCATTTTTTAAGTTTTTGTCTGCTTTGTTTTTTGGTTTTATATATTTTGGACAGTACTTTATGTCTAGCTGTCAAGAAAAATATTATAAGACATGCTAAGAGGTAAAGGACTCAGTTTGAAGAGATCATAAGCATGGCAGAGATATTGAATAAGCAGATTGGGGAAGGTAGAATGCGGAAGGCAGAAGACTCTATTTGTGTGAGGAGTTGGAGAAGGTCTTGGAGTTGGATATGTCTTTTTCCTTGGGTCAGTTAAGCCTTTATCAGGTTAGCCTTGGTAAACAGTTTCTTCTAAAGAAAAAGAATAGAGTGCTTCCAAGATTGAGGACTTGTGCGTAAAAAAGAGTATGAGTTCCTATGGTGTTTTTACCAAATTTGTTTATGCTGAACTCCTTGTAATTTTGGAACTCATATGGAAAGCATTTTCCGAGTTACTTTATAATGTATAGAATAGCAGTTCCTCCATTTGGTAAAGCGGTAGTTTGCCATAAGCTACTTCATTTTGAGTTTAAGGACTGAGATGAAGTAACTCCACACTTCATACAAGTAAACAATCATTTGCCTGGAAAGCAATAAGGTACAAACTGATAAGTAAATCAGTCATGCTAATATGAATGATCACTTGTCAGCTAATCAGAGGCACATGGATGCATGTGCCTGTATTAACTCATATTGGAAAAACAAGCCCCAGTTATCAAACACACCAGACCACTAAATGATGCAACCCCCTCACTTGAAACTAACAAGACTGGACACAGCAGCACCTGACTCCATTGCCCAGGAAAGTTGCCACAGCAATGAACCTTTGAATCTCTTTCCTCAGGTTTTAGTAAAATGTGGTTTCCCTGATGGTAAGGATCACACATGGCCACTGCCACTGGACTTCTCAAGCTCACAATTTAAGTGACACTGTGAAGCTGCTGCCATCCAGACCTTGGCCTAAAACAAGTTCTTGCTCTTGGTTCCTTATATTATTTGGCTACTCACTTTGACTCTTTGTATTCATATCTGCTCTCTGCCTCAGCTCTCCCTTCAGCCACCTTAATCCTTTTTTAGCTTGTGTGTGTGTGTGTAAAGTTTGATTGTGACTTGAGGTTTTTAAATATGAGAAATGAAAATTGGAATAAGAGAACCAGTGATTGCCCAACTTCACCTACAAGGTGAGCTACAACTCTTCAGGGAACGGACACTGATAAAAGTGGTGTAGCTTGTGAATTTACTGTTGTTCAACAAACTCTGAAATTTTGGAAAAACACTAATGCGTTTGGTTTATGGTAATGTCAGCACACTTAAACAATCACAGTTCAAGTTTCCCTGTGTTGGCAAAAATTTCTGCACCCTAATTCTTTTCTTGGTATTTGCTTTGGCTAGTCCTGTTCTCTACATTTGTCCTTCATTCTCTCCCTTTTGGGAGACTTTGGTTTGTCCCCAACCCCATCTCTTTTGTAAGTCTAAAGACAGCTATTTGTCTTTGAGTTTGTTTGGCTTGTGAGGGTGGAATTTTTTTTTTTTTTTTTTTTTTTTTTTTTTTTACTTGTGAGGGTGGAATGTTAACTGTTGGCTTCTTACTTGCAATATAAAAACACAGAAATCTATATTTTTGAATGGGAAATACTGTGTTCTTTACATGCTTCATAATGTTTTAATGTTTTGAATATTTTAATATGACATTTCCAGAAGTCAAATTCTTCCTCCTCAGAATTTGATTGTTTGCTTAGTGCATTCTTTTTATTTACTGTAGCCTGTTTGTGTAGTGACGATGTTATGTTAATTTTTTTGTAACGTCTGTATTCTTTTTCATTTGTGTTCTCTCATCAAACCCTTGTTCTTTTAGCTTCTGTACAATTATATGACACATAATGAAGATTTCTTTGCATCCCAGAAGTAAAAAGTAAGAAAGTAAACAAAAGGAAAGGGAAGTGGGGAGAGAGAATTTTTTAAAAAACAAAAGAAACCACCAAACAATTTCTCTGTTTTGCAGATGGGGCACAGAGCCATTTTCTAGGTAGCTTACAAATCTTAGCCTTCAATTCCTCTTTGCCATTTGAAATGTAAAGGTTTTAGATCTTTAAAAGCATAAGTCTTTTTCAGGGTGTTGGGTGTGGTTTTCCAAATTCTCCAGTGAACACCACAACTTTTAAATATCATAATTCCCAAGAAGGCTCTCTTTCCAGTTTTTTCTTTCTTGCTTTTCTAACGCTTTGATTGCTATAAACTTTTGGTTATCCAAAGTCAGTTTTTGCTTTATTTTTATAAGTTTTTATGGCTGGATGGGCCCATGGAGTTGACTATATTATTGTGGTGTTTTCTGATTATAACCTGGAAATACATTTTTTATTATTTATGATTTTTTCATTTTCAGTTGGTTGTTAAATTTGAAATGAGTTGTTTATAAATGGCATGTGATGGGGTCATATGTTTTCATTCTCTTTTCTCTCTCTTTCTTTTGGTACTAGAGATTGAACCTTGGGGTGCTTAACCACTGAGCCATATCCCAGTCCTTTTTAATATTGTATTTAGAGACAGAGTCCCATTGAGTTTCTTAAGGCCTTGTTAAGTTGCAGAGGCTGGTTTTGAGCTCTTAATCCTTCTGCTTCAGCCTCCAGAGCCACTGGGATTACAGGTGTGCTCCACTATGTCTGGCTTTATTCTCTTTTCATTTTACATTTGAGGTATTTATTGAATGGACATTGGGTTTGTGTTGAGTTTTTAAAATTTTTTTAACTTTTTAAAAACTGTCATCACTTTGTGTTCTTGCCTGCCTTTTGGATACTTTAGCATTAAAAAGTTGTATATTAACATATTAATATAAATTCAGATATTCACATCTTTGCGATTTCCTTTGTTATTCTTCGATGGCCTTGGGACCCTTATCTGAAAATCTTTCAAAAGTTTTATTACTAATTAAATTTTTATGTACACATAAATTTTACTTCGAAATTCAAGACTTTCTCTTTCACCTTGACTGCCAATTTTAGGGTATGTGAGTGTGTATGTAGTTGGGATGTGTTTATTACCATGTAAGTGGAAGTCATTATGAATGTTAAAGATGTGTCTTTGTTTAGATTATGGCATAGTTGGGTGCTTTGTGAGACAGACATAAAAACAATATTATGTACCTCTCTACTTCTTTACTTGTAACTGAGCACTTGAAAATTCAAATTCTACTACTTTTTGTTCTCATCCAAAGGGTAGTGACATTTGCTTTATTGCTCAATGTATTAATTAACCCTGCCTTTGAAAGTGTTTCTAGAGTAATTAATGCATTTTCACATTGTGTAATCTAGAGATAAGAAAGTATGTGAAAGGATATACAGAGACTATAAGCAAATATTGTACCATTTTATGTAAAAGACATTTGAGCATCTCCCAGTTTTGGTATCTCTGGAAGTCCTGGATCCAGTTCCTTATGGATACCAAGGATCAACTGTATATTGCTGCAGTTTTCATTCTGCTTAATTGCTTAAAAAGTTAATAAAGTTATGGTTGGTTGTTTAAAATCAAGGGTATTTCTACTTAAAGGCTTTGTCGTTTCATTTTTTTTTCTAAATATTCCTCTTCTCCCCTACTCTTCAGAGGAAGTATCACTCTGCAAAAGAAGCCTATGAACAACTCTTAAAGACAGAAAACCTACCTGCACAAGTAAAAGCAACTGTATTGCAACAGTTAGGTACATAAGAATTATTTTTTATTACCCATTACATTCATTTAAAGATGTTGTTTTGCCATAGGATGGGGTTGTTAGCCTTCTGCTTAGAAATTCATTTTCACTTGAAATCTGTTTTAGAGATTAAATGTACCATGTATTGTGTTATGATTAAATTTAATATGAGTACCTTAATTCTTTTCTTTATAAATGTGTTATTTTTCTTTTTTGTCTATAATTATTATATTTATACCTATTATTAGTTAGGCAAACTTTGTCTCACCATCCAAATGTAATGAAGCTAGTTCTCTTAAATTCTCAATATTTTTCTTTACAATTAGACGAAGGGAGGATGGGGTTTGAGTACTTCTATATGCAGGGCTCTTAGGAAGTTAATTGAATTAAGACAATTTATTACAGTTTAATATGTACTGAGCTTGCTTTAATAATTTTGTTGATAATAGGATTGATAGAAACATCTCACCTATATATTAGAGAATATCTCATTCTGTATTTCCTTGAATAGAGTTCTTCATTTGTATAATGAAGATGAAGAAATAAAGTATTTGAAAATAATATAAAGTGTTAAAATTTTAAAGATAATGAGGATTTCTCCCAATAATTATTTTAGATAAGGCTTATTTGTCTTCTCTATGATACTTGGCATTTGGGTTATGGTTTGGTTGGTTGGTTTTACTTTCACTGTTTATATGTAGTAAGAGCAAATAATTTCTGTGTTTCAATGAGGTTTGGAATAAGAGGAATGCTATTGTATGTCATTTTTTTTTTAATACAATTTCAGTATCAGCAAAGCTTAGTTTTGCTTAGATAATACTTTTGACCGAGAAATTTTGAATACTTTAATTGAGCCACAGCTAAAACACGTATTTCTGTTTATCACATAGTGCCTCATAACCTAATATTTCAATTGTCTGTGTAGCTATAGTTTTAAATCTAGTTAGTAAGTTAACAGTTGTGGTACATAACTCTGTACCATTCTCATAACTTTTTGAACTTACTTTTCACTGAGCTCTTCCATACAGTCTTGGAGTTTGTTGTTGTTTTGTTTAGTTGTTCCATCAAATGCTGTCATATTTAAGATGTTCCTGTATGTAATCTATGTTAGTAAGATTCTGGGCCTTTTGTAAGGCTTCAAAAATGAATAAAGGATTTACCTTTGATTATATAATCTTGCATTTATTCTTTGGTAATAAAGATAGGATGCATAAATTATTCTTAATATTCTTTTTGGTGTATTATGACTTTCAAAGGAAAAATAAGTGTATCATCTTTAGCCATATCATTTCTGAATTTTTTTTCAAAATTAAATTTAGGAAAGTAGAATTTCTGGTTATAAACGCTTAGAAATCCAGTGCCTCAATGTCACTTAGTTATTTTCTCTGTATGATATAGATTATCTTGCACTTACATTCAGTGGTTTCCAATTTGGGGAAAACATAATCTCAAGCAATGGAATAAATTACTAAAATATTGTTTTAATTTGTTTGTACTCTATGTGGTATTCTTAATGCTAAAAAAAAAATAGTTGAATGATGGGTAAATACATGTGACTTTTTGTTGTTGTTGTTATAGGTTGGATGCATCATAATATGGATCTAGTAGGAGACAAAGCCACAAAGGAAAGTTATGCTATTCAGTATCTCCAAAAATCACTGGAGGCAGATCCTAATTCTGGCCAATCTTGGTATTTCCTTGGAAGGTGAGATTGAACTCTTTGACTGCTTAGAGTTGATATGCTTTGTAAAATGTTAGTTTATGTGAAATGGTCTGGTCAGAGACATTTTTTAGATATTTTAAATATCGTAAGATTTTTTATGTCTTTAATATAATGAAGATTTCTGGAAGGTGAAAATGGACAATCTAAATGTGTTTGCTCTTATTGAGATGTTCTTATTTTGATTAGATTTTGTTTTCACATTATTGTAATCTTAGTTGAATTGTTCTTAAGCAATCTTAAATAGCTTTTTATCAAATAGCAGTCACTAATAGTTTTTAGTTTGGTGTTTTAAGTTGTGCCTGTAATTTCTTATATTTTTTGATTTATTTATTTAGTAAAACAGAAAATGCATTTATATTATTTGTAAAAGCAGACTTTTACATATGAATTTTACATATTAGAACTGTTTTTCTACCTAGATTTCTTTTCAGTCAAGAATAAGATTTGGCACGGTGGCTCATGCCTGTAATCCCAGTTGATCGGGAGGCTGAAGCAGTAGAATCACAAATTCAAAGCCAGCCTCAGCAGCTGGGAGGTCCTAAACAACTGAGTGAGACCCTGTCTCTAAATAAATTACAAAATAGGGCTGGGGGTGTGATTCAGAGGTCCAGTGCCCCTAGGTTTAATTCTTGGTACCTCACCCCCCCAACAACAAAAAAGAATAAGATTTGTAGCATATTATATCATAGCATTGTGGGTGTGTCTAGTGCCAGAGATTTGTATTATTGTAGTTACTGTTATATAGGAAACATACTCTTGAAAGTATGAATTTTGTACAAATGCTGTACTTTTACCAGCTCTGTGTGAGGACAGCCATATTCACAGAGATCTTCTCCAGTAAATCAGGATTTAAAGCACTAGTGTACTTTTTACTTTTAACCTTTTTTGGATAAAAGTTTCCAAGTGAACAGAATGATACCTGGGCTCTCTCTCATTCAGTGAGGAGGTCATGGAACAGGGTAGAGGAGAGTGTGGCTGCGGAGTTGCTAATCAAGAACTCCAGAGACCAAAGAGGAAGCAGGTCTGATATTATTGCACAGTTATTCTATACACAGACACACACACACACACACACACACACTGAGGCAGTAGCTAAGCAGATACTTATGCAATTTCTGGCCAGCTGTCCTTGCAGCGACCAATCTAGGAATGGGCCGTGGAGCAGGTAAAGGGACTGCAGCACTTGGCCTCATGCGCAGGGCTGTGCCTATGGCGTAAGTGATTTGCTGCCTACATGCCTGGCATGGGGGGCTGGTTTGCCACTCAAACGCCCTTAATGTATGCCATGCAGTACTCCATGCGCTTGTCCCCACAGAACAATTTCTTGACTTTTTAGGTAGAAGATGGTAACCTATTTTAGGTTCAGTATTATTTTTTAGGTATTAATTAGCTTTAATTTTTTTTCTTTGTTTTTTTTTTTTTTTTTTTACTTTGTGTTCCTCCGAATCTGCTTTTTTGCTGGGGGAAAGAAAACAAGTTTGTGAAATTATATTTTAAAACTTATAAGTTCTACATGAAGAACTTAGGTGTTATTAAAAATATTGAAATTTGATGACAGTAATATTTCTGAGACATGTGTACATTATCTATGTGTTTAATACTGTGTTGAATATTGAGCTCACTTATTAGTTGGGATGTATATATAAAAGGGAAAAGAGTGGGTAATACATTTATACTATCACTACTTATTAATTCTGATAATGGCTTCCTAAGATGGTGTAATGTTAGATTTGGGTTAGAGTAGGGTGCTTCCTAGTTTACTCATTTTGAGGCAGACAGTAGATCTTACCTTGGTAGGTAGGAGTAGGGCCTTTGGAAAAGAACAAGAGGGGAGAGGGAGGGACATCATGCCAACCTAAAAAGAGACAGTGTGTCTGAAAGATATCCTGCGAGTTGCTGCTCCCTGCCAGTGTTAACCACAGTGCCTTCTTGTCGCGACCCCTTGCCCGCAAGGAAGACGCAACTCAGGAATCTTCTTTAAGCAGTTTATTCAGGCCCTTGATATTTCTTCTTCTCCCTCTCGGATGCCCCTCCCAGCCTTAATAAAGCATCTCAAGCCCCAATGCGAAGCTGCCGCGTGGAGCTTTCTCATAGGGTGGTGAAAAACCATGCGCCAACTCTCCCAAATAAGGAGTTGTTTGTCACAGACCACAGCGGAGCCAGCGCCATCTTGTAATGGCGACCATAGTCTGCAAAAACGGCAGAAGCGGCTCACCACACCTTCTTCTGACCTAGAATACTTGTTTCTGTTTCTCACATCTTCAACCACAGCAGCCTTTCCTTAGTTGTCCTTGCTCTTTCCCTAAGTCAACCATAAGCAGACTCCTACCCAAATGCTTCCTCTTGTCTACAGACACCTGAGACTAAAATGTTGGACCCAAAATCTTCTTAATTTTGTAAAGAGATTGAAATCATACATTCCTGATTGTCTTAGTAAGTTCAAATCCATGAGTTGATTGGTTCACAGCAGCATTCCCATTAGCATCATCTCTCTCTAATGTCCCTGCAGAACCAGTAGATAAGCCTTAACATCTTTATGCAAAGAACATCGAGTGCTAGTTCCTCAGTAGTTCCTCCAACTCTTTGAGGATCTCTTCTTTCTTTGCTTTAAGTAACACTTATTTCCCTATCCTTTGCTTGTCTGTGGATTTCATTACTTGAATTCAAGAGGCAAAGAATCCAACTTAGATCCACTGTGGGAAACTATTCCAGAGGAATAAAGTGTTTTCCGTAAAGTTTCATAGTAATTATTATCAGAAAAGGAGCACCAGCTTCCACCTGTGTTTTTATTGTTGTTTTAATTACTCAGACTACTTCAATGGAATTTAGACAAGTTATATATAGGAAAAACAGTTTGTCAGTGGACTCAGACATCTGTGATTGGGCTTGTCAGACTTAAGTGTTCATATACAGATGAATCCAATTATAGAAACTTTTGTTAGGCATGAAGAATAGAATTGGAGCAGCACATGCCTGTGATCCTAACTCTTGGGAGGCTAAAGCAGAAGGATCAAAAGTTCAAAGATATCCTCAGCAGCTTTGTGAGTCCCAAAGTAACTCAAAATAAAAGGGGCTGGTGATGTGGCTCAATGGTTAAGTTTCACTGGGTATAATTCCTGATACCCAGCCTCCAAAGGAAAAAGAAAAAAAAGGTATAGAATTGCAATGTGGGATGCATATGCACAGTCTAGGGTGGCCTTTTATATGTCTGGAGAAAAAAGAAAGTTTAGAATTTTTCTGGGAGAAAGAAATATACACAAGGAATTATGAAAGAAAGTTCATTGTCTGTCTCAGCATTTGAGGAAGCTGGCAAGTTCTGACTACCAAGTGGCAGAAGTTAACTTTGTAAAGGTCGTCTGAAGGTCAAAGTTGGCAGTTCTACCATGGCTTGCCAAGTAAAAACTGTTTTAAAGATAGGATAGTTTGTTTTATTCTGTGAGATGATTTCTGGAGCAGGGTTCTGTGATTTGCTTTCCTTTCTCATCTTGTTATTCAAGTATTGGGAAAGTCAGGTTTTTGTGTATTTATATTTATTATTCATATGTTTATTTTATATTATTATGTGTAAAAATAATAGTATTTTAATCAATGCAGAGCATCCTTGAAAGATGTGTCTAATACCCCCCAAACTCCATTTTAGTGGACTATAATTAGGAATGCCTCCATTTATATAAATGAATTTTCACAGGTATACTGCTTCTATTTTCACCTTTTAGAAATGGACTATGAAATGTTGCTTATTACTCTTGGCATTTGTGAAGAGTTGTCTGATGATCTGAAATTCAGTTCATTTTAAGAAAAAATATGTCTTACTCTCTCTTAACATTTACATTCTTTCTGGTTGTTTACATTGTTGCTTTCTTCTGAAATTGTCCCATTCTCCCAGCCCTTCCACACAGGTTGTAAGAACTCTCTCATATTGCCTTCTTTCATTTTTTTGCACTTTTAAATTTCCTAGAGCCCATAGATAAGCCATTTTTTAAGGCTTATTTCTATCCCTCTTTTGTATATGTCCTGTGTTCTTTAGTTTCATGTGAGTGAAATTTAAAGATCTCAATACTGCATCTAGTTCTTTGCATTATACATAATAATCAAAGACTGCACCTCACATCCTCATTGGCATGTTTTAAAACTTTTTTCATGATGTTTTTCTCAAACTAGTTTCTCGCTTTTTAAAAAAATGCTTTTAATTGTAGATGGACACAATATCTTTATTTAATTTTATTTATATATGGTGCTAAAAATCAAATGCAGATTCTCACACATACAAGGCAAGCATTCTACCACTGAGCTTCAACTCCCTTGCCACTAGTTACTTTGTTTTATAACAGTATTTTTGCCAATTTTTAGCTGAACTAGATTTATTATCCTCCTACTTGAATCATTCAGTTTTTTAAAACCAATTATTAGGTGTATTCTTTCCCCCACCTTTTTCTTATTTGTCCCTTCATTACTTTGCCTGTAACTCTAGGACAATGTATGTATTCACCTTCTGTAAGTCCAAATTTATGTCCTTTTTAGACTTTAAGTATCAGTCTTAAGGTCTAAAAAAAGACAAATTTGTGAGCAATTTCCTTTAAAGTTCTTTTCTTAAGCCACTTGCCTTCAAAGAAAAATCACAGAGTAGGTTAAAATTTTCTGTTTTTAGGCTAATTTTCTCTTTTTTTGCACATGTGAGATGCTTTCATGATGAAGTCCTTTAAACCAATATGAAATGTCTCCATGTATATTTTCCTTTTTAATTTATGTTTCCCAGGCATTTTACCTATGCAAGTTATAAAAATTTCAGTAAGTACAGCAGTCAACATAGGGTGCTTGTTTCATTAATGATATTAAAAGACTTTTGTTGTTTTATATCTTGATTGTCATCCTAAGTGAAACCATACAGATAGTTTCTTGAAGAATACTCATGTGTGTGGACAGCTATACATATACTTGCACACGCACATGCATATATGTACATATGATGAGACAGGTTGTGTGAGGGGAAAGATTGCTACATAATAAGAATATAGAGTTAAATAAAAAGTGTTGAAAGTGATACAGTAATTTTCCTTTCACAACAAATAACTCAAAATGACAGAATGATTGCTGTGTTATCAGTTGGGGAAGGAGAATTAAATTCAGTATAGAAATCATTACCAATAGATTGTGGATTTTTTTTTTTGTACTTTTAACCCTCTACTCTTTCGATGCAGGAAACCTGAATTTAAATTATGTAAGTTGAGTTCTGTTTTTAACTCTCAGTTTCAAAGCATTGAAGAAATTCACAGTGTAATAGTTTCAGTAGAGTTACTTCATTAATGTAACATGCACTAGTATTTACAAAACATTTCCTAGTATTTAGAAAACACCAAATTATAATATAATGGAGATTAAAATTATGTATGAATCTAGATATATGTTCTCCCTCTCTCTCTCCCTCCCTCCCTCTCTCTCTCTCTCCCTCCCCGCTCTCCCTCTCCCCCTCTCATACACACACACACACACACACACACACACACACATATATATACCTTGTTTACTCTCTTCTTCTCATTTAAATATACAGTCTCTCATTTTGGCAAATAAGTTATCTATTAATGGACTTTTGTTTAATCATGTGTGTATGTTCTCCTTTTAGGTGTTATTCAAGTATTGGGAAAGTCCAGGATGCATTTATATCCTATAGGCAATCTATTGATAAATCAGAAGCAAGTGCAGATACATGGTGTTCAATAGGGTAAGGCTATATGTTAAAAATAATTTTTGTATATTTATATTTTATTATTAATGTTTATTTTATATTATTATATGTAAAAATAAATAGTATTTTAATCAATGCAGAGCATCCTTGAAAGATGTGTCGAAATACCATAAAACTAATCAGTTTTTGAAAACTCATTCTGTTTGCAGTGTGCTCTATCAACAGCAAAACCAGCCTATGGATGCTTTGCAGGCCTATATTTGTGCTGTACAATTGGACCATGGGCATGCAGCAGCCTGGATGGACCTAGGCACTCTCTATGAATCCTGCAACCAGCCTCAGGATGCCATTAAATGCTACTTAAATGCGACTAGAAGCAAAACTTGTAGTAGTACTTCTTCACTTGCAGCAAGAATTAAGCTATTACAGGTAAAAATTTGAACTAATATATTTTGTTTTCTTTTTTTTAATATTTATTTTTTAGTTGTAGTTGGACATCATACCTTTATTTCACTTATTTATTTTTATGTGGTGCTGAGGATCAAACCCAGGGTCCCGCACATGAAAGGCAAGTGCTCTACCGCTGAGCCACAACCCCAGCCCTAAACCAACATATTTTAAAATACACACATCTCCCCTTATAAAAAGTGGCAGGAAAGTTTGTCTATTTGTGTTTTGATGCTAATTTGTTTCCATACTTACAATATTTTGTGAAATTACTTTTCTTGTCATTTGAAGTAAGATGTGGTATCTAAAATATATTCCTTTGCACATGTACTTTGTTGATGCATATTAATTTACATGCTCTACATTAATATGCGTGAACATTTTCAGTGTGCTATCTTCATTTTTAAGTTGTCATAGCATTTTAGAGAAAAGAACACATACACTGCTTTTCATGCTTGGTTGAAATTTCATAAGGAGTACCTGCAAGAACTCTGAAAATTAGAGCATAACTTTGTTCTAATATTCCCAAGTATATTCTAGTTGCCCTTTTTATATTTACCATCTATCTAAAATCCCAAATTCAGAAGGCTTGTGTTAAATTTGCTTTTTACATAATTTTTCCTAGGCTCAGTTGTGTAACCTTCCACAAGGTAGTCTACAGAATAAAACTAAATTACTTCCTAGTATTGAGGAGGCATGGAGCCTACCAATCCCCGCAGAGCTTACCTCCAGGCAGGGTGCCATGAACACAGCACAGCAGGTGAGAAGTTGGGTTGTCTTCTGTAGGTGCCCAGCTTTTAAGGGTTCTTTCCAATCTGTAGTAGTTAAACCTACTTTAATACATGTAGGATCTTTTAACGTAAAAAATCCCTTTAATTTGACAATAAAAAGTCCTTTTTAATTTCAAAGGGATTTTAGGTCAAAAATAAATCTTCCTCTGATATGGGAAGGATCTTGGTGTCAGTTAAAAATCTTTGTATGTTTTCAAAACTTGAAAGAAAAACTATATTAGTCTATTGAATACTTCATTTTGATTTTCAGTATTTTCAATCAGTGATGTCCAAGTAACTTTGAAAAGTACACAGCTGATAATGTTTTATAATTTGAAGGAATGAATTAAGAATGCTGACCTATTTTTGTTGTACTAATGTGAACCTTAGGCTTATAAAGTTCATTGTCCAAATACTGAACTTGTGTTAGACTTTAGTCAAACACTAATTTCACAGCAATCCTTGTCAGTACACATGATCACTTGTAGTCAAGTAGAAGGCCTGCCCACTCTTTCGAAGAAAAAAAGAATACCTAGTCCAACAAAGTATCGCACATATGTATGTGTTGTGTGTGTTCATGTATATATATCCCCCCCAAAAAAGTGGTCAAATTGTTTTACTTCATCCAGTACAACAACAAGTTCATTGGTATTTAACACCACAGAAATAACAGGTATGAGATATTCTTTTGACTTTTTTTTTCATTTTCAATATACGTATTTATATATACAGACACAGCACATACTTATGAGATATGGAAAAATCTCAATTAAAAATGAAGCTTCAACTCTTCTGAAATTTACTTATCATTTATTTTTAACCTGTGGACATCAGGGAATAAAGCAGTATTTCTATTCCATAATCTCTGCATCATATTGTATGTAGAAAGCAGGGATAATTTTGTGTTCATCAGTCATTCCATTCATTTCACAGCTTTTATGATTTTTAACAGTTATTTATCATCCCTCTGTACTGACGTTGAAATAAATTGAAATGTTGGTTATAGTAGGTAGTCTAAGTATTTTGAGAAATGATTTAGATATTAGACTTTTCCCTAAATTTATGTGTTTGCAAACTGTTTGAGCCTCTTAGACTATATTTAGAAGAATTTAAAAACTTAATTTCTATAGGTATATGAATAAATATTCCAATTTTTAGTCATTTGTTGTCTCATTAGTCATAGATGTTATAGATGGAGTTTAACCAAATATTCCTAAAATCAATTTTTCTCAGAATGGTTCTGATAACTGGAATAGTGGCCAAACTATTTCACCTCATCCAGTACAGCAACAAGCACATTCGTGGGGTTTGACACCACAGAAATTACAGGTATGAAATATTCTTTTTTAAAATATTTATTTATTTGTAGATAAACACACATTATCTTTTTTTATTTTTATGTGGTAATGAGGATCGAACCCAGTGCCTCACACATGCTAGGCAAGCACTTTACCACTGAGTTACAGCCCCAGCCCCTGAAATATTCTTTTGTTGTATTTTTTTAAGTAGAAGTAATAAGGATTGTTTTAGAATTCAGTCAATTTTAAGTTAATGTGTACATTATTTTTCAAAATAATAGAAATTATAATTAATTTTGGTGGTTGGGCAGAAAGTAGAAATGGGTAGATTAGAGAGTATAAAAGCTCTGTTTGGTTTTTTCCTTTCCTTCAGCTACCAATTTTCCTTTGTCACAGACAGGCAGTATTATTTCTTGTAGACAGAAAATTTGCAAATACAAACAAATATATCTGTCTTATACGTTCCTTTTTTGCATTTTTAAAATAGAAATGTAGGTAGAACTTTAGATAAGCAGAAGTTATATGTGTATTTATTGCAGGATTTTGCTTTCTTTTTTTCTTTTTTTAAATGTTTATTTTTAAGTTTTAGGTGGACATAGTATCTTTATTTTATTTTTATGTGGTACTGGGGATCGAACCCAGTGCCTCACACATGCCAGGTGAGCGTGTTACCACTTGAGCAATCAATGTCCAGAGCCCCTCTTTTTTCTTTTTTTAAAATATTTATTTTTTAGTTGTAGTTGGACACAATACCTTTATTTTATTTATTTTTATGTAGTGCTGAGGATTGAACCCAGGGCCCTGCACTTGCTAGGCGAGCGCTGTACCACTGAGTCACAACTCCAGCCCTGTTTTTTTTTTTATTTCATAAAAATGTAAATTGAGGATTTTCCCGTGTCTTTATATTGTTTCATGTTTTCTTTTTTTTTTTTTTTCTTTTTTTTTTGGTAGTACTGAGGATTGAAATCAGGGCCTGTGCTGCCTGCAAGGCAAGCACTCTACCAACAGAACTATATATCCCCAGCCCGCTTTATTGTTTTTTTAATGGTGATATATGTTCCAGTTGAGTCTTCATGGGGATTATACCTCATTTAATCAAATCCCCATTGTTGGGTTTTTATGTCATTTCCTGCTGTTTTAAGGACACAAAATTGTTAAATAGCTTTCTCTCTGAAATTTCAATTCCTCAATACATTTCATTCAAAACAAACAAATTAACTTTCTTGAGATGAATCTTTAGATCTGTGCCTTTCTCATACCTCTGAAAAATTTTATTTTGGAAATGAGTACTGGTGGTGAGTTTATAGACTTTCTATTGGGAAATTGCCTTATCATGTTTTTATATAAAACTTTGTATTCATTCTAATGTTTAGCTTAAACTTGGATTATATTCTCCTCTTTCCTTTTAGCACTTGGAACAGCTGCGTGCAAATAAAGATAATTTAAATCCAGCTCAGAGACTGATGCTGGAACAGCTGGAAAATCAGTTTGTCTTAATGCAGCAAAGAGTATGTACACTTTTATCATTTCTAAAATATATTAGCACATGGGATTTTTTTTATTGCAGTGTCATTTTAGAGGATATTAAGGTCACTGCTAGTTTTTGTGTGTATTCAGTGGAATTTAATATCAGCTTTGGATGCTTGAAACAGATTTTTGAAGGGAAAAAGAGCTACAAATTAATTTATAACAAACACTTGGTATTTCATTATTTATTTGCATAATGTTTTGTTTGTGTCCTAAGTTGCTTATTTTTAATATTAATAATTAACAAATTGCCCCAAATTGAGGTGGTGATGCTTTAATGATTGTTTTACTTGAAGGATTTGGTATAAATAAAATGGAAACTTGAAGTCCTCTGTTTCATGATGGAAAAAAAAGAAGGCCTATTAATTTATGATTTGTAATCCATGAATTTTAGCTAACTTTATTGTCTCTGCAAGGAAATATTAATTTTTATGCAGTAATCACCTCTAAAATCAAGCATGGTTTCTTGTTTTTTAAAGTGTTTTTCTAACTTAGATGAAATGCTATGATAAAATTACAGATGTTTCGATTACACATTTTCAGAATCACACAAGCAGGTTTTCTTTTTTGTTTTTGAAGATGAGACAAACAGGAGTTGCTCAGGTACAAACTACTGGAATTCCTAATGGGCCAATATCTGACTCATCACTGCGTACAAACTCTATCTCTAGCCAGCAACCACATGCAGCTCTGACCAGAGCACCTAGCATCTCTCAGCCTGGAGTTCGCCCTGCTTGTCTTGAAAAGCCTTTGTCCAACGGACCTTTTTCTGCAGGCTATGTTCCGTTCGGCACATCAGAAACTCTAGGGAATACAGACACTATTTTGGTAGGCAATAATTATATAAAAGGAAGTGGAAGTAATGGAAATGTGCCTTACCTGCAGCAAAACACATTCACTCTACCTCATAACTGCACAAACCTGACCAGCATCACAGGAGAGCCATGGAGAAAACAACTGTCTAACTCTGCTCAGGTAAAAGAAAGACTAGCTGTTTTTTTGGCTCTTATAGTTTATCTTTATTTGGCTTGTATACATTTTGAGAAGAAGAAGAAGAAATTTAAGTTTAAAGAATGCTTTTATCTTTAAGAACTAACTTTAAATAATTCAATAACCATATAAGATTTTTAACTAGGATCATTACTAAATTTTGACTCAGTCTGTGCACATAAATGTATCAATGTATGATTAGTATACATACACATTATGTTAAATAGTATGGGAAGCCAAGGGAAAGAAGGGAGGGAGCCCTTAATCTAGTTGCTAATTAAACTATCAAAATCACATTTTGTAGGGGCGAATGAACTGTATGCATTCAAAAGAAGCTGTACTTTGAATTTTGATCATTTATGGGCTCGGGATATGTTGTGCTAATGTCTGGTGATACTGGATAGAGGCAACAACTTATTGCCAGCTCCCAGGCAGTCGTGTGATCGTGAGGTTAAACATCTCTTACTGTACTGTGTCCTCTATGGATCAGAATTTTTAAATATATTTTGTGTTTTTGCATCCTAGGGTAACTACAAAACCCATGTGTGCATACTATACTCATGCAGCCATTCTTTTTCACTTTTGGTACAATACTAAATAAGTTGCATAAGTTATTTAACACTTTATTATAATACAGACTTTGTATTAGATAATTTTGCACTCACTGTAGGCTCAAGTAGATTGTAGGTGTTTTGAGCAGGTTTATAAAAGTTAGACTAGGCAAAACTATGATGTTTAGTTGGTAAGATGTATTAACTGTTTTCAGCTTATAATATTTTCATCTTTTGGTGGGTTTAGAAGGATATAACCCCTCCATAAGACAAGAAATATCTCTTTTCTGCAGGTCTATGCTCAGATATTCCCTGAATAAAAATGCTAAGTATTCATTCCCTTTGGACCAAAAAAAAAAAAAGTTTTAAATACCATAAATTACAGTGAAGTGTAACTTGAGCTATAGGTAGCAAGTGCCACAGGTGGGCCAAAATATTAGATACTCAGATAGTTTAAGGAATTTGGAAAGAGAAATGAAAGATAAAATATGGCTGGTTAAATGTGAGGCTTTAAGAAAGGTCCCACTTTGAATAAAGGAAAGAGCCATTAAGCTTTTGATTAACAATGTGAATTTCTTGAACCTCTTTAAAACTTATTAGTGATTAATGGACTGTATTTTTTTAGAGCTCTTCTAGGTATACAGATAGAAACCTCCCATTCCCTCCTCCATTTCTTCACAAATCTCTTACACTACTCTGGTTCATTTCTTAGGATCGATGAGACAACATTGGTTATTATTAACTAAAGTCCATAGTTTGCTATTTGTGTTGTATTTTATGAGTTTTGACAAATAGGGGATGGCATGCATTCATCTTAATAGTATCCAAGAAAAAAGTTTCACTCTCCTAAATGTATGTTGTGCTATGTTTGTTTATCCCACTCCGCCTCTCCTGAACTTATGCCAACCTGACCTTATTTATTTATTTATTTATTTTGATTGGGGGTACTAAGGATATAACTCAGAGGCATTAGACCACTGAGCTACATCTCCAACTCTGTTTTGTATTTTATTTAGAGATAGGATCTCACTGAGTTGCTTCGTGTCTCACTAAATTGCTGAGGCTGGCTTTGAACTTGTGATCCTACTGCCTCAGCCTCCCAAATTACTGAGATTACACACTGGCTCAGACTTTTTTATCGTTTCTGTAGTGTTCCCTTTTCAAAAGGTCATATTATTGGAACCATATGTTATAAAGCCTTTCAGATTGATTTGTTCTTAGATACATACATTTATTTTCCTCCTTGTCTTTTTGTGGCATAATAGATCTTTTAAATTTTTGAACCCTGAATAGTAGTCCCATGTGTAAATGTGTAAATTTGTTTTGCCAATCATCTATTGAAGTACTTCTTAGTTGAGTTGGCAATTATATAAAATTTGAAATAAACATCTATGTGTAGATTCCATATAGAAATCCTTAACTCATTTTGGGTAGATATCTAAGAATGTCATTTTTTGATCACATGGCAAGGACATGTTTTATTTTCAAATAAATTGTCAAACTGTCTTCTAAAGTGGCTACACTATTTTGTATTCCAGTCTGCAATGAACCGTGAATGGTTCTTCCTGTTGGTCTACATCCTCACTCATACTAGGTGCTATTGGTTTCTTTGCTCCAGGAATTCTTATTAGTATATAGTGTGGCATTTCCTTATTATTTTTATTTACATTATCCTAATGAAATACCATGGGATTTTTTCATATGTTAATTTGCCTTATGTGTATCATCTGTGATGAGTTAACTGTTCAGATCCTTGGCCAGATTTGTTTGTTTGTTATTTGTTTCTTTTGTTCATTTTCTTAATGTTGAATTTTTAGAGTTTTTGTCAACTTTGAGTAATAATCCTTTATCAGATGTATTTAGCAAGTATTTTCTACCAGTCCATGGCTAGTCTTCTTGTTTCCTAGGCATTGTCTTCTGCAGAGCAGAACTGTTTAATTTTAATTAACTGCAGCCTATCATATCTTTTGTGTATCATGTTTTTGTTATTCTACTGAAAAAGTCGTTAACAAATCCAAGGTATATGGATTTTCTCTTTTTTTTATCATCCAGGAATTTTTTTTATAGTTTTATGTTTAGATCCATGATCCATTTTTTATTTACTTTTTTGAAAAGACTGGAAAGAAATCTATCTAAAGATTCCTTTTTGTTTTCTTCCTCTTGTTGTTTTAGTGTTGTGTTTTTCTGTCTTTTTTCTTGTTTTTGCACTTAAACATCTAGTTGTTCCAGCATTATTTGCAGAAAAGATTACTTTCTGCTGTTGTATTCTCTTTTGCTCCTTTGCCCAAGATCTTTGATTTTCTAGATGTTCCTGAGCTCTCTGTTATCCTATTTGTCTATCCTTTTCGCCAATATCACTTTGTCTTGATTACAGTTGCCTTATAAAGAATACCAATAAATCAGTTGGTGTTGATCCTCTGTCCCTGTTCTCTTTTAAAATGGTGTTAGATGTTCTGGCTCTTTTGTCTTTGCATGCTTTGTCCATATTTTTGCATCTAATATTTACGAGAAAGATTTGTTTATGACTTTCCTTTCTTGCCATAACTTTATTTATGACTTTCTTTTCTTGCCATAACTTTATTTGTTCATGACTTTCCTTTCTTGCCATTTTGGTTTTGGGGTAATTTTGTCTTCTTACATTGACCAATGGCCACTGTTTTCTATTGGGACAGGATATTAATTATTTATTCAATAATTATTTTTTCTTACTAGAAAATAGTTTGAGTCAGATTGTCAATTTTCATTAGGTGAATTCTGTAGTTATTGTGTCATTTCAACTAATTCATCAGTCTTTGGAGTATAAACTTGCTCATAATATTTCTTTTTTTTTTTTTTTTTTTTTTTTTTAAAGATAGAGTGAGAGAGGGAGGGGGGGAGAGAGAGAGAGAGAGAGAGAATTTTTAATATTTATTTTTTAGTTTTCGGCGGACACAACATTTTTGTTCTGTATGTGGTGCTGAGGATCGAACCCGGGCCGCATGCATGCCAGGAGAGCGCGCTACCGCTTGAGCCACATCCCCAGCCCCAAATTTCTTTATGATCCTTTAAATGTAGATTAGTAGTAATGGAACCACTTCCAATTCTGATTTAGTGGTTTGTTGTTTTTTTCCAATCTGTTTTTTTTTTTTTTTTTTTTTTGTGGCTAGAGGCTAGCAGATGTTACTGATCTTTTCAAAGGACCCATTTTTTATTTCATTGATTTTTCACTACTATTTTTCTGTATTTATTTAATTGATTTACCTTGTAATTATTATTACTTTAGTTACTTTGGATATAATTGGTTCTTCTTTGGTTAGTATGCTAAGGTGGAAGTTTTGACTACTGATTTTTATTTCTTGTTTGTTTTTATTTTCAAAACTATATTTTTTAAGGGCTGTGATTGTGGCTTAGTGGTAGAGTGCTTGCCTAGCATGTGTGAGGCATAAATAAATAAGACAAAGGTCTATCTACAACTAAAAATTTTTTAATAAAATTATTATTTTAAAAATATATTTTTTAAAAATTGGCATATATAAAAATTAATATGCATTTATTATTAAATGTTGTGAATCAAATTTATATCTTACTTAATCAGTTTTTGTGTGTGCGTGTATGTGTGTGTGTAAGAACTAATAACGTGAACTTTCTTTACATCTGTTTTTCTTCTTTTTTCGTATTGGGTTCACTTATATTTCATATAAGTGAACCCAAGGTCACTTAACCACTGAGCCACATCCCCAACCTTATTTTGTATTTTATTTAGAGACAAGGTCTCACTGAATTGCTTAGCTCCTTGTTTTTGCTGAGGTTGGCTTTGAACTTGCAATCCTCCTGCCTCAGTCTCTTGAAATTCTGGAATCATAGGAGTGAGCCACTGCACTTCTTTACATTTGGAAGGATACTGTATATCTTTTCCAGTAATGACCTTGCTATCTTGCTATAAATTAGATCTTCTGAAATTTATTCCTCCTATATAACTGTAACTGTATGTACTCACGAGTGTTTCCCCTACTCTACATTCTTCTAAAACACTATTCAATACTGTTTACTTCTAGCCCTTGATAACTGTCATTCTACTCTCTACTTCAGTGAGATCAACTTTCTAAGATTCCACATGAGTGAAATAATATGGTATTTGTCTTTTGGCTTATTTTACTTACCATTAATGTCTTCCAGGTTCATCCATATTGTGGAAAATGCAGGTTATAAAACATTTTGTCTCCTGATTTTTTTTCTTTCCAGTCTGACAAACTGGTCCTAGTGTTTCCACGTTAATCAACTTTCCATCACTATGACAAAAATTCTTAACATATCAACTTAAAGGAAGAATTTTTAGTTCACAGTTTCAGAAGCTAAAGTTATCGTCACTTGGCTCTTGTTTTTGTGTTGTGGTGAAGCAGAACATCATGGTGGAAGTGTTTTGCAGGAATAGCTGCTCACTTTCTTATGTCTGAG